GCCGCGGGCCGGGCTCTGTGCCTGGGGGCCTAGGACACCCGGGGCCGTCCCAACCGCGAGAAGCAGGCCCCGCGCTCCCAATGGGGCCGCTTTGGGGCGCCCTCCTCTCCTCGGACGGGGCGGCCTGGAGTCCAGGCTGCCGGGTGTTTACAACGCACCGCAGTCTGCTCAGTGCTGATGAGGTCTCATGTCAGCTAGTCCCCTCATTGCTGCCTCCGATGCCTCTAGCTAATGCACACACACACACACACACACGCACACACACGCATGCACACACACGTACGCACACATGCACCCATGTGCACGCCGGGGAGTGGGCCTGTCACCGTGGTGCCGCCCCCCTGCGCCAGGGCCAGCGCCTGTGAAGCTGGGCAGGTGGCAGCCTCGTGCCCAGACCCGGCCGCTGGGGAAGCAGACCGGCCCCTCCTCCTGGCCCGGTCCTTCCAGGCTTCCAGGCCGCCCCCCATTTCCCCCGCCTCTGGGCTCCGGCCAGCGCCCGGCTCCGGGGGAACGAAGGGAAACCGGTGTAGACGCTGGGCGGGGGCCTCCCAGCACAGGGGTGTGCCCCCGGCATCTTCCCCAGCCCTCCGCGGTGACAGGACCCTGGGCATCTCGCAGTCGGCCTCCAGGGCGGTTGTGGGTCACGGCTTCTTTGGGGGGCAGGGGGGGGGGGGCGTGTCTGTCAGCGGGAGGCCCCAGCCCCTCACCGGGCGCTGTGCCAGGCGTCCCACGGCCACTCGCCCCCTGACGGTGGCGCCCTGTCTCCCCAGAGGCCGAGGGCCGCGTCTGCCACCGGCTGTGCTCGCCCGAGGGCTGCTGGGGCCCCGGGCCCAAGGACTGCGTGGCCTGCCGGAACGTCAGCCGCTACCGGGAGTGCGTGGAGCAGTGCCACCTGCTGGAGGGGTGAGCGCTGCGGCCTTGAGGGCGTCCAGGGCCAGCGCCACGCCGGGCCCCCTCTGTCTCCCTCTTCCTTTGTTCTGTTGTTGGTTAGCAGCTGTTCATCACTACGGAAATGGCCAAACTCTTTTCCTGGCTTAATCCAACCTAATAATCTATAGAGGCATATCCCCAGTGGGGGGGGTGCAAGAGGCAACTGATCGATGACTCTCATCAATTTTTCTACCTCTCTCTCTCCCTTCCTCTCTGTACAAAATCAATAAAATATATAAAAATAAATACATACATACATACATACATACATAGAAACAACGGCTGCTGCGTTTACTCACCCTCAGCGCAGCCCCAGCCCGTCAAGTCTGTGGGAATCTTGACTTTGATGCGAATCTTTAGATGAGAATGTAAAATTGAAGAATAGAGCTCGGCGGGGGCCATTCTTTAAGTATCTATTTTATTGATTTCAGAGGGGAAGGGAAAGGGAGAGAGAGAGAGAGAGAGAGAAGCATCCACGATGAGAGAGAATCACGGGTCAGCTGCTGAGGGAGGCGGTTCGCGTCACCCGGCTTTTCGGACAGACCGGCGGGCAGGTCCCCAGAGGGGCGCTGACACCTGTCCCTCCCCTCCACCCCCGCAGCGAGCCCCGGGAGTTTGTGGAGAATGCCGAGTGCATCCAGTGCCACCCGGAGTGCCTGCCCCAGCCCAGGAACCTGACCTGCACCGGACACGTAAGGAGCTCGCCGCACGCCATTGCCACCGTGGCCCCGGTCCCAGGGCCCCTGAGGACAGCGCCCTCGGGCTGGGCTGGGGCTCCGCCGGAGCCGAGTCCTCACACCCAGCGGCCAGGCAGCCCCGCTCTGGCCCAGGCCTCACACCAGCCGTGTCCCCACCCAGCAGGAGCCAGCGGGGCCGGCATGGGGTCAGCCCACGGCGGTCCCCACTGCTTTCGTTTTGCTCAGACGTCACCAGGTTCTTACATAGTATCAGCGTAGCGTTTTGGGAGGGTTCTTAAAGAAAGCCCGGGGACACTAAAGCCCAGTTTCCTCGCTAAGGATGTTGTCAGGAACACGGGTGAGAGCTCGGTCCCCCAGGGCGGAATGCAGCCTGTAGCTCGGCTAACAGGCAGCAGCGGCACTGCCCCCCGCCGCCGCCTCCCGCTCAGGACCGGCTGCTTGTGGGTCCGGGCCGCTCACTGGGCGGGTCTGGCCGCCAGCCTCCCTGAACCACAGACACCCCCACCCCCGCCGGGGAGCGCACCGGAGGGCCCGCCAGGGGAGGGGCCGCCAGGAGAGGGGCCGCCAGGGGAGGGGCCGCCAGGGGAGGGGCCGCCAGGGGAGGGGTCCGCCAGGGGAGGGGTCACCAGGGTAGGGGCCGCCAGGAGAGGGGTCACCAGGGGAGGGGCCGCCAGGAGAGGGCCCGCCAGGGGAGGGGCCCACAGACACCCCCGCCAGGAGAGGGGCCGCCAGGAGAGGGGCCGCCAGGGGAGGGCCCGCCAGGGGAGGGCCCGCCAGGGGAGGGGCCGCCAGGAGAGGGGCCGCCAGGGGAGGGGCCGCCAGGGGAGGGGGGGCCGCCAGGGGAGGGGCCGCCAGGGGAGGGGTCGCCAGGGGAGGGCCGCCAGGAGAGGGGCCGCCAGGGGAGGGGTCGCCAGGGGAGGGGTCGCCAGGGGAGGGGTCGCCAGGGGAGGGGCCGCCAGGGGAGGGGGGGCCGCCAGGGGAGGGGCCGGGAGGGGCCGCCAGGGGAGGGGCCGCCAGGGGAGGGGTCCGCCAGGGGAGGGGTCACCAGGGGAGGGGCCGCCAGGAGAGGGGCCGCCAGGGGAGGGGTCGCCAGGGGAGGGGTCGCCAGGGGAGGGGCCGCCAGGGGAGGGGCCGCCAGGGGAGGGGCCGCCAGGGGAGGGGGGGCCGCCAGGGGAGGGGCCGCCAGGAGAGGGGTCACCAGGGGAGGGGCCGCCAGGAGAGGGCCCGCCAGGGGAGGGGCCCACAGACACCCCCGCCAGGAGAGGGGCCGCCAGGAGAGGGGCCGCCAGGGGAGGGGTCGTCAGGGGAGGGGTCGTCAGGGGAGGGGCCGCCAGGGGAGGGGCCCACAGAGGGGCCGCCAGGGGAGGGGCCGGGAGGGGCCGCCAGGAGAGGGCCCACAGAGGGGCAGTGGCGTGTCATGCGGAATAGCGGGTTTCTTCTGTTCTCTGTTGTACACGCGTGTCGGCCAGCTGAGAGCAGGGCCAGGGCTCAAGCACAGCCACAGGCGAGCTCGCCTTCCACGCTGACCACGTGCACACCACTGGACTGTTCCCCAGACACGGGTTTAAGTGACAGGCTTCTTCCCTCTGGCGAGGGGGCGCCTCCAGGGTGACGCCCCTCTCCCTCCTCTCCCTCTCCCCCCGCTGCAGGGGCCAGACAGCTGCGTGCAGTGCGCCCACTTCATCGACGGCCCGCACTGCGTCCAGACCTGCCCGGCCGGCGTCTTGGGCGAGAACAACACGCTGGTCTGGAAGTTCGCGGACGCCAGCCACGTGTGCCGCCTGTGCCACCCCAACTGCACCCATGGGTGAGTGCCGGCGGCTGGGAGGGAAATGCCCGTGACAAAGGTGCCCTGGCCTGCAAGGTCGCAGGGCGGAAGCAGCTCCGGAGTGTCCAGGCGGCGCTCCCAGAGGTCTGAGTGAGCCAGGGGCTCAGGGTCCCCAGGGCCAGGCAGCAGAGAACAGGCTGGTGGGCGGGAGCGCGGAAGGTGGGCCCTGTGGGAGGAGCGCGGTGGAAGGGCGAGGTGGGCGGGGCTTGTGGTGGGAGGGGCTTGTGGGAGGAGTGTGGTGGGAGGAGCTGGGTGGGAGGAGCACGTGGGAGTCGTGCTGTGGGTGGGGCAGGGCACAGTGGGAGGAGTGTGGTGGGCGGGGCTTATGTTGGGAGGAGTGCAGTGGGAGGTGCTTGATGGGCGGGGCTTGTGGTGGGAGGAGTGCAGTGGGAGGTGCTTGATGGGCGGGGCTTGTGGTGGGAGGAGCTCAGTGGGAGGATGTGGTGGCAAGGCGGGGCAGGGCACGGTGGGAGGAGCGTGGTGGGCGGGGCTTGTGGTGGGAGGAGCGCAGTGGGCGGGGCTGGGTGGGAGGAGCAGTGGGCGGGACTTTGTGGGAGGCCCCTGGTCTCCAGCTGTCCATCCTGAAGGGTCTGTGCTGGGATACGCAGCTCCTGACCAGAGACGTGGCCGTGGATGAGGGCATAGTCCTGCCAGGTCCCCAGAGACAGAGCCCTCGGAGGGACAGGAAATGCCTGTCAGCAGCGGGGAGGGTCACACAGCACCCAGCCCTCTTCCCCTGCGTGAAATGTGCTTCATGTCTCCCCAGGCGGCCCCGTGCCGGCCTTTCCATGTAACTGGCGTGTTCTGTTTTCCTGTTAACATTCACTTTGCTGCCCGCGGCCCAGCAGCTCGAGAGTCACATTAAGGCCAACGCTGTCCCTGTGCCATGTGACACTCAGCCGTGTGGCCTGGAGGAAGCCAGCCCTGGTCCCCGCGTTCGGGGTCTGCAGTCCTCATCGCCCCATTCCCCTGCCTCTGAGGCCCTGTCCTCCCTCACCCACCTGCTTCCCCTCGCTCGCCCCTGACCAGCCCTGGTTCTGTCCCTCCCGCTCGGTACCCTGTGCCAGCTGTGAGACAGCTGTGCCCGCGCCAAAATCACACATGGGAACGCTTCAGTGACGAGACTGGGAACGCTGTGCTCTCTTCAGCGCTAGCACAGGCCCTGGCGCAGAGCAGACACTCAGAAACATTTGCTGAGTGAATCAGCGCCCCTAAGAGATAAACGGGTAACCGCCGCCCCCACCCTGCGGCGCCTCGCGGTTTTAACCCTTTGAGAGGCCTTACCCTTCTCCATCGGAACCGTTAGGCAGTGAGCGCTCGGTGTGCTGCGTCGGGGGATTGGGAGGGGGCAGGGGGCAGAGGTATGAGTCCCAGGCACTCAGTCTCTGCCACGTAAGCTAGCAAGACCTTGAGCATCTTCCGTCACGCCCTGTGCCGGTCTCCTAAGCGATAAGGGAGAGGGTTGCTTTGGGACTTGATAAAGAGGCTGGCTTGTGATTGAGTGACAGCTCTTTGAGAAAGCACGCTGTGGAAGACAACGCGCAAACGCACGTCTCCTTTATCCCCACAGCTGCACGGGGCCCGGCCTGGAACACTGCATAACCGATGGGTGAGTGTGACCACGCGCCTCTGACGTAAGGTCCCGCTTTGGGCAATTTAACAATCTGTCCCGAATCCCGAGGTGTTTTTAAAAAGTCCCAATTTTGCCAAAACCGGTTTGGCTCAATGGATAGAGCGTTGGCTTGGGGACTGAAGGGTCCTGGGTTTGATTCCGGTCAAGGGCATGTACCGTACCTTGGTTGCTTGCAGGCATATCCCCAGTAGGGGGTGTGCAAGAGACAGCTGACCGATGACTCTCGCTCATCGATGTTTCTCTCTATCTCTCTCCCTTCCTCTCTGTACAAAATCAATAAAATATATATTTTTTTTTAAAGTCCCGATTTCGCCACGGGACAAATTATTAAAAACCGGGACTGTCCTGCCAAAAGCGGGACGTCTGGTCACCTTAGTCTAATGCCACGGCGCTGGACGGGTGAGGACGGGCCGTGGCCGCACTGCCGGCTCCCCCTGCCTGGCCAGGTTCTCACCGGCACCGCGGGCCCCCTGCCATCGCCGAGGCTCCTGCGTGGCACTTCTGGGCGGGGGCGTGGGACATGCGTGCTCGAGGCCCAGCACCCCTTTCTCCGTCCTTCCTCTGGTGTCTCTGGTCACGCCTGTGTGGCTGGCTCCTTCTCTTCTCCCAGCTTCTCCTCCGTCCTCCCTGCCCCTGCCCCTGCCCCAGCTGGGCCTGCCGCAGACGGTGTCTGAATGACCTCTCTGCTCGGAGTTTCTCCCCTGATCTTCCCCAACGCGCCCTCCTCAGCGTGTCGGCTCTGGTCCTTTTGCCATCGTGGCTGACACGGGCCCTGGGACCAGCAGAGCTGGGCTTCCAGCTCAGACTTAGCCGGAAAGAGCGGGATCTAGAGAGGAATCAGATTTTACACCAGACACCTGTGGAAACGTCGGTGCGAGAGAGACACCACCGCTGCCTCCTGCACGCCCCCCGGACATGTGCCCTGACCGGGGACCAAACGGGTGACTTCCTGGTCGACACCCAACCAGCGGAGCACCCAGCCGGGCTAGGAGCCCTAAGTTCCAGCCCTGTCTGCGGATCCCTCTCGGTGCCCCTGACGCCGCCCCCAGAACAGCTGCGGTGACAGGTCCTCCCTGCTGTCCAGGAGGCATTTGCAGGGATCCAGATCCCTTTGGCCCCATCTCTCCCGGAGCCGGGCACAGCCAGCTCCTGCCGCCGCCCGTCCCCAGTCAGCACCTCCACAGCGAGGCTCCCTCACCCCCCGGACAGATCGTTAGGAATCGGGACTGTCCCGCCAAAAGCGGGACGTCTGGTCACCTTATTCTAAGTTCCTTTGCCATTCACTCACCCTCATTACGGCTCGACGTGGAGCACGTCCCCGGTAACAGATTCGTTCCTACGTGTCTCTCACTTCCCTCCAAAACTGTAAAAACCCACGAACTCGAGGGCAGTGGCCGCAGAGGGTCTGGCGCAGGAGCGGGCGCTTGTTCTCCTAGGCAGAACTGTGTAACACTCTCTCCTGACGTGCAGCTGATCCGCTGACGGGGAATTTGTGAGGACGATGTCCCGTATCGCACGTCCAAACGCGGCCGCGGGTTAATCTCCGCTGCGCGTTGGCACCTGGAAAGATGGCGTGTTTTCCTGCCGGACGTGCTGCCTCCGACGCAGAGATACTCTGGGGAGACACAGAAATTGACAGAGAAACCAGAACTGAGTGGCTTTTGAATTAATGTCTTTTCTTCATCAACCGATTAAAACATTGCCCTCGCCCAGGGTGGCTCAGTTGGTTGGGCGCTGTGCTATGCACCAAAGACTGCTGGGTTGCCGGTTCAATTCCCGGTCAGGACACGGGCCCAGGTTGTGGGCTCAGTTCCCAGTGGGGATCATGCAGGAGGCAGCCGATCAGTGTCTCTCTCTCTCTCTCTCTCTCTCTCTCTCTCTCTCTCTCTCCCTCCTCCCTTCCTCCCTCTAAAAATAAGATAAAATAAAATAATTATATGCTAGTATAACCACTATATGGAGAGATCCAGATAATTCCTTAATTTGAAAAATGCAGTGCAGCCAGGTGGCGGGTGAGGACCGCAGTGCAGACACTGCCCTGGACGCTGCCCTGGACCTCGGCGGCTCCCCGCCCTCAGCGGCTGCACCAGGGCCTCTCTGGGCGTTCAGTGTCCTCAGCAGCCAGCGCAGGCAGGAAATGGGTGAAACGCAAAGGCCGTGACACCTGGCACCAGCCTGACCTTCCCCGTGTGTGCGCCCCCTGCAGGCCCAGGATCCCGTCCATCGCCACGGGCGTCGTGGGCGGCCTCTTCCTGCTGCTGATGCTGGGGATCGGGGTGGGCCTGTTCCTGCGCCGGCGCCACATCGTCCGCAAGCGCACGCTGCGCCGGCTGCTGCAGGAGCGGGAGGTGAGCGCCCGCCCCGGGCCCCGCCTGCGCGGACCCTGGGCCGGCCACGTGTACGTCTGTCCCTGCGCCACTCTGCTTCTGCCCCGCGGTGCCGAGGCCGTTACCGCAGTGGCCCGCGGGGCGTCTGCCCGGGGCACACGTGTTCCTGGTCAGTGCCCGGCCCCGGGGCAGCTGCCCCGCCTGCCTCAGGCACAGGACCGGGGCCCGCCGGGCGGGGTGGCTCAGCCAGAGCGTGGGCCTGCAGGATCCCCGGTTCCACTCAGGTCAAGGGCACGCACCTCGGCTGCAGGCTGATTCCCGGCCCTGGTGGGAAGCAACCAATATGTCAACATTTCTCCCTGGGTGTCTTCCTCCTCCCTCCCACCTCGCTGAAAACCAATGGGGAAATACCCCCGGATGGTTTTTTTAATTTTTTTTAAAGAGGACAGTGCATGTGTGCATGTGTAGGAGCAAGCCTTGGAGCGGTGCCCACTGAGTCCTGGGGAGGCCCAGGGGCAGGGAGACGGGACTGGAAAGTGCCCTGGTCCACACCTGTCCCCCTCTGAGCTCTGCTTCCCGCGGCGTGCTCCTGGCATTGCCATCCCCCCGGACGGTCCACACCCCGCACCCATGCCCAGCGGAGCCGGGAGCCAGATCCCCCGGGAGGCATCCCCAGGGCAGCTGTAGCATCCTGGCACTCGGATGCCCGGGGGCCCGGCAGGCCACCAGCATGACCCCCCGTAAAAGGTCCCTCCCCCACACCTCCCGGGTCAGCTGAAGGGCCTGGGGACAGAACTGGAAGTGACATTTGTGCCGCTGGGCCGGTCCCGGTCAGGGACACGGTGTCCTCCGAGGTCCCTCAGAGCGGGCGGCCGGGCCCTCCGGGCGCACAGCAGGGTCTCTGTGCCAGGCAGGACCTCGCCAGCCGCGTGGGGCGTGGAGGCGGGCCACCACCGTCACCCACTCACCTGTCTCTGCAGCTCGTGGAGCCCCTGACCCCCAGCGGCGAGGCCCCCAACCAGGCCCTCCTGCGGATCCTGAAGGAGACGGAGTTCAAAAAGATCAAGGTGCTGGGCTCTGGCGCATTCGGCACCGTGTACAAGGTGAGGCGTCCGGGCTCCGGCTGGCAGCCCCTCGCCCTGCGGTGGGAGGGTGGGGGGCGGCGGAGCCAGAGTCCTTGGCTGTGGTCTGCGTCTGTCATGTGTTCTGAGGGTCTGGGCCAGGCGTCTTCAAACTACGGCCCGCGGGCCACATGCGGCCCGCAGAGGAGTCTGATCCGGCCCGCCAGGTTGTTTGGGCAGTGAGCGCAGCCGAGGTGTGACAGTAGGAATTAGTAGTTCATATAGTCCGGCCCTCCAGCTCTCTGAGGGACCGTGATCTGGCCCCCACTTTAAAAAGTTTGAGGACCCCTGGGACTCTGGGCAATCCCAACGTGTTTCCCACGCGGTCGAGGGGAAAGCTTTTGGAATCACGGCTCCGGGACGTGGTCCCATGAGACGTGTCCGCAGACACGTTTCGTAGACGATGGCACAGGCCGGGTCACAGCAGCCTCCTCTCCATCCTTTTCCTCGGCCCTCTCTGCACGAGGCCGGCTCTCCGTGAGAGCTGGGCCGGGGCCTCCGTGCTGCGGGCGCAACGGCACACCCGGCCTTGTCCTGGGCACGCGCGTAGGAGGTGTGTCCGACGACTCGGGTCCGTGGACGGCGATCGCCGAGGAGCCACCGGACGCGGGGACTCCCGCACCCTGGCCGTTCCGTGCCGGGCTGAGCTCCTTGTTCCTGGCCCCTCCTGATGGCGTCCCCCGAGGCACAGTGTGAGGCCTGCCCGCTCCTGCCTGACCACCTCTCTCTCCTTCTCTCTCTCTCTCTCTCTCTCTCTCTCTCTCTCTCTCTCTCGGTCGCAGGGACTCTGGATCCCGGAGGGCGAGAAGGTTAAAATCCCCGTGGCCATCAAGGAGTTGCGGGAAGCCACGTCTCCGAAGGCCAACAAGGAGATCCTTGACGTGAGTGGCTGCTCCGTCCTCCCGCTGCCCCCAGGCCTGGCGGTCAGGGCCGCCTCTGTGTTACACTCTCTTCCTCCCCACATGCGAAGGGTCCCTCCCCGCATCTCCTTCCTTCGGCCTCTAGTGGGCCTGCCTTCCTCCGGGCCTTGTCCTGCGGGGAAGGCCCAGCTCTGCCGTGCTCCTCTCCCTCCAGGGGGCAGCCTCACTCGCGATGTGTGCACACGAAGTTGTCCCTCGCACACTCCGGGTAGGGATGGTGTCCAGCACCGGCCGGTGGGGAGTGGAGGCCCAGCGAGCCGTGCTCTGGTTCCTGGGGGCATGGAGGGGCCCAGCCCACGGTCCTGTCCCTCTGCCTCTGAAACCCAGTCACTGTGCTCCGTTGAGTTCTCTGCTCGCGGAAGCGGCGTTGGAAAGATGCCGTTGGTGACGTGTCGAATGTGCACTGCGATGGCCAGTGGCTGTAGAAGTGGCCGCCCGCCCTCTGTGCTTGCGCCCCAGACGGCCGCCGTGCTCCTCGGCGCCTCCGGCTGTTCCTCTCTGGGGGAGTCTCCGGAACGTTCCGCAGGTTACGACGTTTTTGCCCTGAAGGGCCTGGGGACAGAACTGGAAGTGACATTTGTGCCGCTGGACCGGCCCGGTCAGGGACACCGTGTCCCTCAGGGCGGGCGGCCGAGCCCTCCGGGCGCACAGCAGGGGCGTGTGAGAAACGTCAGACCTCTCCCCCTCCCCACCCCCGAGAATCGTCACAGCTCTGCGTGAGCCAGGCTGACGACCGTGGCCGGGCGCGGACTCTCCGAGGGCCGGGAGAACGCCCGGAGGGCCGTGTGGCAGCGGCTGCACAGACCGGGGTCCGAGGAGAGGCGCGGGGAGGGCGGCCTGGCGTCCGCGCGGTGGGAAGGGGCGGGGAGTCCCGGGGATCGGAGCCGAGAGCGAATGCAGAGACACGTACCTCCTGCCTCGTGTGGGCTCGGGGCGTTCAAAATTAACGCCTTCGGCCCTAGAGGGGGGATTCGGGGACCTGGACAGCCGTGAGGGTCCTCGGAGCTGGTGTCCCGGGCAGACGGTGCCCCGGGAAGAGGGATGGCTCTCCGTCGCCCGGGGTGTTATCTCAGCCGGAGACGGGACAGCCCGGGGAGGGGGGGAGGTGGTTATCTCAGCCCGGGGAGGTGGGGGGGGGGAGATGGTTAACTCAGCCCGGAGACGGGACAGCCCGGGGGGGGGGGGGGGGGTGGTTATCTCAGCCCGGAGACGGGACAGCCCGGGGAGGGGGGGGGGGGGGTTATCTCAGCCGGAGACGGGACAGCCGGGGGGGGGGGGGGGGGGGTGGTTATCTCAGCCCGGAGACGGGACAGCCCGGGGAGGGGGGGGGGGGGAGATGGTTAACTCAGCCCGGAGACGGGACAAGCCCGGGGGGGGTGGGGGTGGTTATCTCAGCCCGGAGACGGGACAGCCCGGGGGAGGGGGGGGGTGGTTATCTCAGCTCGGAGACGGGACAGCCCGGGGGGGGGGGGGGGGTGGTATCTCAGCCCGGAGACGGACAGCCGGGGGGGGGGGGGGGGGTGGTTATCTCAGCCCGGAGACGGGACAGCCCGGGGGGGGGGGGAGGTGGTATCTCAGCCCGGAGACGGACAGCCCGGGGAGGGGGGGGGGGAGATGGTTAACTCAGCCCGGAGACGGGACAGCCGGGGGAGGGGGGGGGGGGAGGTGGTTATCTCAGCCCGGAGACGGGACAGCCGGGGGAGGGGGGGGGGGTGGTTATCTCAGCCCGGAGACGGGACAGCCGGGGGAGGGGGGGGGGTGGTTATCTCAGCGGAGACGGGACAGCCGGGGGAGGGGGGGGGTGGTTATCTCAGCCCGGAGACGGGACAGCCCGGGGAGGGGGGGGAGGTGGTTATCTCAGCCGGAGACGGGACAGCCCGGGGAGGGGGGGGAGGGAGGTGGTTATCTCAGCCCGGAGACGGGACAGCCCGGGGCAGTGGAAGGGCGGCCTCTGCTGAGGAGCCACAGGCCCTGGCAGGGCCGCTGGGGCCGCTCTGAGTGGGATCTTTATGGTCAGAGCGTCCGTGTGGCTCCTCTGGGCTCCGGGGCTGTAGGGCCGCCACGCCGGCCCCGCAGCTTCGTCTGAGGCCCCTTTCCACAGCCCTTTCCATCGGCTCTGACCCTGACCAGCAGGAGGGGCTGCAGGGGCGGCCCGGGGCGGGGCCTCTGGGTAGTGGCTCAGGCGGCCCCGCTCGGCCCTCGGGCCCGGGGCTCAGGGCCGGGCCTCTGCCTGCGGTGGCCACGGCACCTCTGCTCGCGTCCTGGGCGGAGCGGTGCCCACGGCGGGGGCGAGGCTAGGCCGGGGTGCAGGACGCAGAGCCCCCGGGAGGGAAAGCGGCTCAGGCGGCTCTGGGATATTGCCCTCTGTGCAGTCGAGAAGCGCAGCGGCCGGACGGGGATTCCCGCTCGGGCCTCTGACCCACAGGCTGTCCTCACAGTAAGCCAGGCCGACAGGGACCCTTTCAAATGGGCTCAGACGCCGCGACCCCCCACCCCGGGCAGCCCCTCCACGCCAGCCCTCCGGGTCCCGCCTCCACGGGCTCAGGCGCCCCCTGAGCTGACGCCGCACCGTGAGCGCGTGACCGCCCGCACGGAGGACGTGCTCATCAAAGACGGCTCCCTCTGGCCGGACGGCTCGCCCTCCAGCGGGAAGTCCGTCAGCAGGGTGTCCGCTCCCGTTAGCCGGACCAGGAGGCACGGAGGAGACCAGACGTTCGTGACGGCTCCCTCCCACCCCTCCCCACCCCCCCGCGCCTCCGCTGCCGAGGGGGCCTCCCCAAGGCGGCCCCTTCCCTCACCACGGCTCCTTCAGCAGCTCCTCCCGGTGCCCAGAGCCACCCTCCCCGGCAGGGGGCGCGGGAGCCAGCAGCAATGCTTTGGGAGGGAAGCAGTGTTCACCGCAAAGGGCCCCCAGAGCCCCTAAAACTGGAGAAACCCGCTTTGGGGGACAGAGAAGTAGAAAACAGGGCCCCCTGGGGCCAGCACCTTCTTGCGAACGCTGGTGGGAGCGTGTACATCAAGCATGTCAAACTCGAGGCCCGCGGGCCGCACACAGGCCACCTACTCTCTTTTTTCTTTTTCTCTTTAATATTTTTTCATTGATTTCAGAGAGAGAGAGAGAAACAGCCATGATGAGAGACAATCACCGACCGGCTGGCTCCTGCACACCGCCCAGGGGGGATGGAGCCCACGACCCGGGTCTGCGCCCCGACCGGGAACTGAACCCTGACCGCCTGGTTCCGAGGTCGGCACTCCCCCCTGCGCCACGCCGGCCGGGCGCCCCCGGGGACCTGCTCCTTAGTCTGAAGCGGAGGCAGCTCTGCGGAGGGAGGCGGAGGATGGGTTCTTCCCAGAGCTTAGTGTGGAATAGTTCTCCGACGGGGACACAGGCAAGAAGGGAGGATCCAAAGAACCATTTTGGCAACTGGACAAAGTAACAGACTTTCAAGGTCCCCCAGCCTCAGAGACACCCGCCCCGGCCACGTGCCCACCGGGACCCCTGTCCTGGGGCTCCGGGTGCGGCTCTGCCTGCCGGGTGGGCCGGCCGGGCGGGAGGGAACGGGCGGAGGGGGGGGGGGCCTGAGAGGGGCGGGAACAGGGGTGTGTGTGTGTGTGTGTGTGTGCTCCCCGCAGGTCACCCTGTGCCTCTGAGACTCCAAAACAGCAAAGAGCAAAGCTCACTGGCTTGTGTGCACACTGAGCGGGACACGTGACCGGACAGCGGCCCGTTGTGCCTGGGAGTGGGGGGGAGAATGGGGGGGAGGGGTGACCTGGTTCTGTGCTCCATCCCATTGCAGCGGGACCGGAACCTGGCGGGGCTCCAGGCTCTGTGTGGCCCGACCCCCTGCCTCCGAGCCGCCCCCCATCCTCCCCGGGTCCGCCAGGTCCTCCTGCCGCCCGCCCCCCGGCAGCCGCTCCGGTGCTGGGTGTGGGTTTTCTCCTCGAAATGAGGACAGCATGTGTCCACCTCCCCCGAGCCCAGGGCCCGCCGGCGGCCGGCCTCCGTGTTGTGGTTGTACCGGTTCCCGGACGCGGGGGAGAGGGAGCTGTGCTTTGGCAGCCGGGCCTGCTCATTTCTCCGCCGGCTTCCCAGCCCGAGTGGAGGGCGGCGGGAGCGGGAATGCAGAGCCGCTCTGCGAACGTGCGGTGTGGGCTGCGCCCCCATGGGCCCGCCCGCCGTGGCCACTCCCGCCCGGGGACGGGGTCTCCGTGGGCCGTTCGCCTCCCGGCGCCTCGATTCTTTTTTAGACAAAACAGCCCGGGAAGGAGGGGCCCGGGCTCCGCAGCTCTGCCTCCGGTGGCTGCCTTCCCGCCGTGAGGGCGGGCCGTGGGCCGGGTCTGCACGGGCACGCGGCCTGCGGGGTAGGAGGTGCGGGAAGAGACCCGCAACCCCCCTTTAAAGGAAGGCCTCCCAGCAAGAGTCCTTGTGGTTCAGAGACATCGGGGTCGCTGCTCTGCTCTGCACTTCAGCTTCGTGTGATTTCGGGGCGGCGCAGCCCTGGCATTTCCGAGGCAGCTCCGTGCCTGCACGTAGGGCAGGCTGCGCTGGAATGAAGGAAGGAAGAGAGATCTGGGCACTCCCGCCAAGTGCTGACCACATTGCTGAGTCAGCAGGAGCGCAGGGGGCGGGGAGGGGGCAGGGGAGCAATAAATAATCAGCGCTTGGCAGCGGGTCCAGTGTGGGGAGCTCTGGGCGTGTACTGGGAGCTCTGGGCATGTGCAGGGAGCTCTGGGCGTGTACAGGGAGCTCTGGGCGTGTACAGGGGGCTCTGGGCGTGTGCAGGGACCTCTGGGCGTGTGCAGGGACCTCTGGGCGTGTACAGGGACCTCTGGGCGTGTACAGGGAGCTCTAGGCATGTACAGGGAGCTCTGGGCGTGTGCAGGGGGCTCTGGGCGTGTACAGGGAGCTCTGGGCGTGTACAGGGAGCTCTGGGCATGTGCAGGGAGCTCTGGGCGTGTACAGGGAGCTCTGGGTGTGTACAGGGGGCTCTGGGCGTGTACAGGGGGCTCTGGGCGTGTACAGGGAGCTCTGGGCATGTGCAGGGAGCTCTGGGCGTGTACGGGGAGCTCTGGGAGTGTGTGGGGAGCTCTGGGCGTGTACAGGGAGCTCTGGGCGTGTACAGGGGGCTCTGGGCGTGTACAGGGAGCTCTGGGCGTGCACTGGGAGCTCTGGGCGTGTACAGGGACCTCTGGGCGTGTACAGGAGGCTCTGGGCATCTACAGGGAGCTCTGGGTGTGTGCAGGGACCTCTGGGTGTGTACAGGGGGCTCTGGGCATGTGTGGGGAGCTCTGGGAGTGTACAGGGAGCTCTGGGCGTGTACAGGGAGCTCTGGGCGTGTACAGGGGGCTCTGGGCGTGTACAGGGAGCTCTGGGCGTGTGCAGGGAGCTCTGGGCGTGTGCAGGGGGCTCTGGGCGTGTACAGGGAGCTCTGGGCGTGTGCAGGGAGCTCTGGGCGTGTACTGGGAGCTCTGGGCGTGTACAGGGACCTCTGGGCGTGTGCAGGGAGCTCTGGGCGTGTACAGGGAGCTCTGGGCGTGTACAGGGGGCTCTGGGCGTGTACAGGGAGCTCTGGGCGTGTACTGGGAGCTCTGGGCGAGTACAGGGACCTCTGGGCGTGTACAGGGGGCTCTGGGCGTGTACAGGGAGCTCTGGGAGTGTACAGGGGGCTCTGGGCGTGTATGGGGGCTCTGGCATGTACAGGGGGCTCTGGGCGTGTACAGGGGGCTCTGGGCGTGTACAGAAAGCTCTGGGCGTGTATGGGGGCTCTGGCATGTACTGGGGGCTCTGGCGTGTACCAGAGCTGACCTGCAGCCCTTTCCTCAGAGACCCTAGTGGGGAAGATTTTTCAGAATCACACGAACGCCCAAGTGGCTATCACCACGAGTGGCTGACGCTCTTGTTCCCACAGACAGACACGCTGGCTGGGCTCGCCTCCTGCATCTCCCACAGAAAGTTCCAGGCTGTGCCCAGCCGGCCCCCGGGACTGTGGTGAGACCCAGGAGAAGCCAGCTCGGATTGGGGTCTGGGAGGGGGTAAAGGGCCGGGGGGGGGGGGGCGTCTGAGGGAGGGCTGATGGAACAGGGCAGGGGGGCCAGAGGGGTGTGGGAGGCGGGGCTGGAAGGTGAGGCCGGGGAGGGGCAGGCCCCCACCTCCGTCTCCTGTCTCACCGCCCAGGCACCTTCACTTCTGCAGGGAGCGCCCGGCCGCCCCTCCTCCCCCCACCTCCCCACCCCCACCCCGGGGAGCAGCCGCGATGGACAAAGGCGCCGCTGAGCTTCCTCCCGCAGCCCCCCAACCTTTGTCTGTTAGAGGAGAAGAGGAGGATTTATGGGTGGAAATCCAGGGTCCCCTCCCGCTCACGCAGACAGAAGCCAGGGCCCGTTGTATGCAGGATCATAAATAAACAGCCCATCCGTCTGAGGAAGCAGGACTCACAGTCTCTGCCCCCGTCTGTGCCCACAAAGGCCCCTGCCTGGCACCCGCAGCCGAGGGGGCACGGCCACCGGGGAGGCCTCCGACGGCCCCCGGCAGGGTGTCTGGCTCCGGGGCCGCAGGGGGGACTCAGGGCCCCTCCCCGCCGCCTGCAGCGAGGGCTTAGCACCCGCGGGCGAGGCCCTGTCCCGCGGTGGGAACCCTGAGGACATTTTATTATCTTTTAATTTTTTATCTTTATTCTTGAAAGTTTTACTTATGGCCCCCTTTTCCCCACTGACCTCTCCCAGCCACTCCCATCACCCCCAGGCCCTCCCTCCCACACACACTGTCTGTGTCCCGGGTTACGCATATTTGCAAACAACAGTTCATCCGCTGATCTCTCTCTTCCCACCCTCCCTCCCGCCTTCCCTCTGAGGGCCCCCAGGCTGTCCCTGCGGCTGTGTCTCAGCATCTAATTTTGATCATCAGTTCATTTGGCCCATGAGACTCCCAGAGGAGCGAGACCAGGGGTCCTGTCTTCCTCTGAGCGGCTGATTTCGCTCAGCATGACGCTCTCTGGGTCCCTCCACCCGCCGACATCTTAGCCTGCGGCCTCCTTAGCGTCGAGGCCGGAGTCTTTCACGGAGCGCTTGGCAGTGCCCGGCTGGGGACAACAGGTCTCTGCCACCGGGGCGCCCTGCACAGGGGGGTCTCTCGTGCCCCCGGGGGGCGCCCGCCTCGCGATGCACCTGGTCATTCACAGCCCGATCCATCAGAGACCCTGCAGAATGTCCCCTCCCGGCTCGCCCGTTCCCTCCACACCATGTCTGTTCTGGGACCCGGGCAGGGCCCGCCCGCCTCGCCCTCGGCCCCACGGGAGCTCACTGACGCCCGCCCGCCTCTCGCCTGCGCAGGAAGCCTACGTGATGGCCAGTGTGGACAACCCGCACGTGTGCCGCCTGCTGGGCATCTGCCTGACGTCCACGGTGCAGCTGGTGACGCAGCTGATGCCCTTCGGCTGCCTGCTGGACTACGTGCGGGAGCACAAGGACAGCATCGGCTCCCAGCACCTGCTCAACTGGTGTGTGCAGATCGCCAAGGTCAGTCCGGGGCGCGGGCCGAGGGGGAGGGCGGCCGGCCGGCCCGGTCTGGGGCCCAGTCCGGGTCAGTCCGGGGCGCGGCCGGAGGGGTCGCGGGCAGGCGGGCGGCCCGGGCCAGGGAGCCCCCGTGCCTGGGGATGGAACGGAATTGTCTTCCAGCCGTGCCTGTCCCACTGCCTGCTGGGCACCAGGTCATCGACCACCGTTTCTAAATACATTTCTATTGATTCAGAGAGGAAAGAGGGGGACATAGAAACATCGATGATGAGAGAGAGTCATTGCCCCGCTGCCTCCTGCACGCCCCCTACTGGGGATCCGGCCGGCAACCCGGGCATGTGCCCTGACCGGGGATGGAACCCGGGACCCCTCAGTCCTCGCTGACGCGCTATCCACTGGGCCACACCAGCAGGGCATCAACCGCATTTAAGCCCGCCGGCCTGACCCCGGGCTGCTGGGCGGTGCTCGGTGTTGAAGTCCTTCCGCCAGCGGCTGTGAGCTGTCCGCCTGTGACGCGTCGGGACGCCGTGTTCCAGGAGCTGGCGGCCCCGCGCCTGTCGGGGGCGTGGGGGGTGGGGTGGGACGCGGGGGGAGAGGGAGGAAATGGTTCCCTCGGCCGGCCGAGAAGAGAGACATTCGCTCGGGGTCAGGGACTATTTATCTGAGGATGAAGCCGTTTTCTTTGTACAAACCTGAGGCGAAGCCGCCCAGAAACGCTCCGTGGCCGACCAGAGCCTAAACCCGCCACCCGGGCGCAGCAGGCTTTGCTGAGCGGTGGGCACCAGGCGGGCACCGGCTGGGCGTCCTGGGAAACTGGCTGAACGCTGCCAGAAGGCGTTTATGGTCCCGGCTACACTGCCGAGACAGCAGATAAAACCGCATCGCCCGGCGAAAGGAAGAGCAATCATCTCGCCAGAGTAGGAATGGCGGGGGCGGGCGGGGGCCGGAGGGGGCGGGGGGCCGGAGGGGGGCAGAAGGAAGCAGCCCCCCCCCCCCGCCTCCCGGCTGCAGGCGTGGAAATGGCTTCTGTTCTCCAGACCAAAGTCTCAGCCTCAGGACTCGCAGACCTCACCCACCCCCCTCCACCCCCATCAGGGAGGCCCGGCCGCGAGGCCTTGGTGGCTGTCACCGACAGGCAGCCACGCGGTGGCTGCGGAGAGCGTGCCCACTCTGTGGCTCCGTGAGCCAGGGGTGACCCCCGACATGTGCTGCGTGGCCCCGTCACCTCTACACCCTCTCATCCAGAGGAGTCCGCCCTGCAGCCTCAGGGCATGGCTGCCGCGCACGCTGCCCCGGCCCCCTCCTCCTGCAGGCCCGCGGGAGAGGGAGCCGCCGGGCGGCGGCCAAACCAGCATTTTCCCAAGCCTGTCATGGTTTAAATATATTTTTATTGATTTCAGGGAGGAAGGGAGAGAAACATCCATGATGAGAGAGTCACTGATCGGCTGCCTCCTGCACCGCCCCCTACTGAGGATGGAGCCCACAACCCGGGCCTGTGCCCTGACCGGGAGTGGGACCTTGACCTCCTGGTTCAGAGGTCAACACTCGGTCGCTGAGCCAGGGGGGCCTGGCTCCCCAGCCTTTCAGACAGCAGCACGCTCTCAGCACCAACCCAGACTGAGACTCACCGCCCGGCCGGGGGCTCATCGGTTAGAACGCCACCCCAATGCTCCGCAGTTGCGGGTTTGACCCCTGCTCAGGGCACAGACGAGAATCAGCCGATGAGAGCATCAGTGAGCGAACAGCAACGCGATGTCTCTCTCTGCCTCTAAAAAGCAGTGTTTTAAAAAAGAGCTCAGAGAGTTGAGCTTTTAGACAAACGAGAGAAGCGCAAGTTGCCGGGAGCGGCCTGAGACGTGAGGAGAGCGCTCGGGAGGGCGAGGCGAGGGCAGGCCAGGGTTAGGGTTAGGGTTCTGGCCAGGGCGAGGCCAGGGCCACAGGAAGGCTTAGGTCCGGCCGCCATCCTCTGACCGCAGCTTCGGACGCAGCAGCCTGTGAGCTCCGCTGGGAGATAAAACTGGACCAGCTTCCAAAAATGATCCGTTCTCCACGTGCCCTTCCCGGTGGGGAAACTGAGGCAGGGGTGCTGAACGTGCCAAGGCCCCGGGCCCGCACGTAGCGAACTGGGGATTGGAAGCCGGGCGGCCTTGCTCCCAGATCCACGCCCGTCGCCCGCACCGGCCCCTGTCTCAGAGCCCCCAGGCCAGCCAGCCAGTGTCCCGACCCCACAGTCCCTGTCGGCGCCCCAGGCTCCTGCTCTGGACTCAGCACCCTGCAGCGCCCCCTCCTCCAGGGCCGGGTCTGCGGGGGGAGGCCGCCCTGTGGGCCCCGCTGCCCCAGCGGCCTCTGCTAGGCCGTCCCCGTCCTGCACATCCGTGTCCTCACATCGGTGCGTGCCCCGTTTCCACGTGGGGGGCTTGGCCCTCGAGGCCCCTCCCCGGGCTGTGGGTGGCGGCAGCCGTGGGAAAACAGCCTGTAAAAGCCCCGCAGCCGCCGCGCCAGGAAAACCTTCCCCTCGCACCCTGGGCCCGGGCCCTCCCGGGTGAGGTCCCTGCCAGCAGGCGCAGCCATGCACACAAACACACACGCTGCGCGCATGGAAGCCAGGCTGGAGGCAGGAAGCGAGGCCCCGGAGGCCCCAGGCCTGCCATCCCTCCCCCGCGGCCCTGCCATCCCTCCGGCGCCTCCGCCGCGTTCTGAGCTCCCCAGACAGGCTGTGGCTCCGGTCGGCGTCGGTGGCTGGTTAAACAGTGACCCTGCTGGCTCGGCTTGGCCGCCCCCGGGCCAGTGTGGGACCCAGACCGAGCGTGTGATCCGAGTTCAAACGGGTCTAATCTCCTCGTCCCAGAATTATCCGGAACGCGGAGCCGCCCTTCCCTCCCTCCCCCTCCCTTTCCCCAGCCGGCCCCCGCTCCCCCCGGCTGCTCTGCCTGTAACGGCCGCCGTGTGGGGTGGAGGGGCCGGTGGAGGGCGGCCAAGCTCAGTTCTGTTACTGGGTTTGCACAGCAACAGGGACCAGATGGGGCGGGGGCGGGGGCGGGGGGGGGCGGGACAGGAGGGGGCAAGCTTGTAGAATCAAGTTCAATAGCCACGTGGTTTTCATGTAAAACACGTGAGAGCCCTAACAGTGTGGTTCAGTGGATAGAACATCGGCCTGCAGACTGAAGAGTCCCAGGTTCGATTCAGGTCAAGGGCATGTACCTTGGTTGTGGGCACATCCCCATTGGGGGTGGGGGGGAGTGCAGGAGGCGGCTGATCAATGATTCTCTCTCATCAATGTTTCTAACTCTCTATCCCTCTCCCTTCCTCTCTGTAAAAAATCAATAAAATATATTTTAAAAAGAAAAGGAAAAAAAACATGTGAGAGAGCCCTGTGTCATCAGGCGCACCAGGAGGTTTGGGGTTCGATTCCAGGTCAGGGCACAGGCCTGCATTGTGGGCTTGGTCCCCAGTAAGGGGTGTGCAGGAGATGGCCCATCCACCTTGGACTCTCACATCCATGTTTCTCGCTCCTCCCTTCCCCTCTCTCAACAAATAACTAAATAAGCTATTCTTTAAATAAACAAGTGAAATGACAGAGAGGGGGACAGGCGGAGAGATGTGTGTTGGCGGTGAGTCTGGGAGGTGCCCGGCCGGGAGCACATCCGGCTGGGCCCCCCCACCCCCCCACCAGCCAGGTCTGGGCCAGGGGCCGGCTCCTGCTCGGCTGTCCTCCGCGTGGCCCGCGCGGGAACGAGCCGCCAGCGGGGGCGGGAGGGTCCCTGAGCCCCCGCGCCCTCACTCGCCGCTGCCTGCCTCAGGGCATGAACTACCTGGAGGAGCGGCGCCTGGTGCACCGGGACCTGGCCGCCAGGAACGTGCTGGTGAAGACGCCGCAGCACGTCAAGATCACGGACTTCGGGCTGGCCAAGCTGCTGGGTGCCGAGGAGAAGGAGTACCACGCCGAGGGCGGCAAGGTGGGAGCGGGCCGGGACCGCGGGCGGACGGACGGACGGACGGACGGACCTGGGGTGTTCTCGCCGGGCCGGGCCGGGGACGTCACAGCACTGCCACCGACTCCTGGGTCTGGGGCAGGGTTTGCGGGGGGAGGGAGCACGATGTTTCTGGTGGAGAACGGAGAGCCGTCAGGTGAGTCCGGCCCCATGGGCCCCTCGAGGTCATGTCCGGCCCTGCAGGGGAAAGCTCCCTCCGCAGGCAGCTGGCCCGCGGCGGTGAGAAGGTGACAGAGCCCGAGGTCTCGGTGACGCCCGCTGGGCGCCCTCCTCTGACAGGTCGGGGGGGGGGGGGGCCTTCAGAGTGCTCTGGGTCAGCGGGACCCTCCCACGTCTCTCCCCGGCCTGCACGGCCCCAGCAAACCCCATAAGCTCGGCGTGGGTGGGACCACCGGGCCCAGAGCCAGGCCCTGGGCTGCCAGCGAGGGGCCTCCAGAGCACCCCTCTTCTCAGCCGATGGGCAGCCTGCCCCGCCTGGCAGAGCCCTGTGCCTGGGGGTGGGGGGATGGGGGCCGGCCCCCTCGCTCGTCCCCGTCCTGTCCCGGCGGCATGGCAGCCTGGCCTCGGAAGGGGAGGCTGGGGGTGTCCCATCGCCCCCTCCGCTGTCCCCAGGTGCCCATCAAGTGGATGGCCCTGGAGTCCATCCTGCACCGCATCTACACCCACCAGAGCGACGTCTGGAGCTACGGTGAGTGGAGCCGGAACGCCGAGGCCGTGGGACATGTGTGTGTGTGTTCTTTCTATTGTTTAAAGTATTACATGTCTCCTTTTGCCCCCATTGACCCCCTGCCACTCCCACCCCCCAGGTCAAGCCCCACCGCCCAGCGTCCGTGTCCATCACTTATGCTAATACGCCTGCTTACAAGTCCTTTGGGTGACCTCTTACCCTCTAGTTTTTCTTTTATTAAAACTCCCAGCGTGTGACCTTGCTGCAAGCCCATGTGTCCTCCTCCAGGCTGCTGGGGGCGCCGTCTGCGGGCCCCTCCCGCCTGAGAACAGACTGACATTTACCCACTGCCGTGGCCAAGGTGTCTCTGCGGTTGTCACTCAAGTTTACCATTTACTGTCTGAACATTTCCGTTATGTTATTGGCCCCTCATAACATCCTAGACGCACACTGTCATCACCCCCCTTTACGGAGAGGTACACTGAGGCCCCCAGTGCGAGCCCGTTGCCAGGACCACAGACACACAGGTGTCTGAGCATAAGAAACCGTGTCGACAGAGATGACCAGGGCCGAGGCGCTGGGGTCCCTGACTCCTAACGCGGCACCTTGGTCCTCGCAGGGGTCACCGTGTGGGAGTTGATGACCTTCGGGTCGAAGCCCTACGACGGGATCCCGGCCAGCGAGATCTCCACCGTGCTGGAGAAGGGGGAGCGCCTCCCGCAGCCGCCCATCTGCACCATCGACGTCTACATGATCATGGTCAAGTGTGAGTGACCGGCGGGCCCCGCCTCGCGCAGCTGCTTCCGGAGTGCTCAGCTCCCCGGAGAAACGTCGCCGTCAGTCAGGCCCGGGACACCCGGCCGGCAGCCCCCGGGCGTTCCGGAAGCCGAGCCTGACTCACGGAGCCCCGGGGCCCCGCATCTCCCCGGGGCTGCGAGCAAATAAACAAAAGCAAGGTCCCCCGGGAGCCACGCCGCCCCCGCCCCCGTCCTGAGTGGCTCCAGGGACAAGCCCGCCCCGTAGGGGAGTGAGTGACCGGAGGGACCAGCCGTGAGTGACCGCACGAGGCTGGTGGAGTCCGCCTGCCTGCCTTGATCCCCATCTTCCCAGCCGCGGGTTTCCGTGCGGTCTGGCGGCAAGGTGGATGTGCCCGGCTCCCGCTGGCAGGGCGGCAGAAGCCCAGGCTCAGCGGGCCCCAGGGCGACGTGGCCGTGCGTGTGCTGAGCGTTGACCCAGAAGGAAACGGGAAGGGGGGCGGGAGCAGCGTCGATGTAAACATTGATGCCTCTTGAACTCCCAGCTACGGGGTCATCTATTTTTAACATCCTGGTTGGGGGGTCGAGGAAGCTGGGATCTGAGGTCACCAGCCGTCTGGCCTAAAAATAGCCGCCATCCCGCTGGTAGGAAGTAAACGTGAGGCCCGGAGGCCGAGGGCGGCCAGGCCCGGCTGCTCCTGCAGCTCGTCGACGGGGATCGGCCGGGGTTGTATAAGCGAGGCCACCAGCCTGGGAACGGGGACAGGGGCGTCCTCTGCTCCCTCCCCCCCCCCGCCCCCGCCCACAGGCACATGAGGACATCAGGGCGGGGACTTCCCGCACCCCGGATTCTTAAAGGACGTCCCCCAGGTCCCCTCCACAGGCTCTGGTCTCAGTTGGCAGGACTGCGGAGTGAGGGGCCCGCGGAGTGAGGACCTGGGGGCGTGGCCACGGGGCGCCCACAGTCAGAGCAGCTCCCAGGGGTCCCCCAGGGTCTCGCTGCGGTGCTGGCCGCGGAGGAGCAGGCGGACCCATCACAGATGTCACGTCGCTCCCGTTCACACATGTCTGTTGTCGGGGACACACTCCACATACGTGTCTGATGACACAATACACGGACTGGAGGTCCGTCGAGGGGGCAGGTTTCCGCAGCACTGACTGGTGGGAGGGAGGGCCTCCCCGTAAGCCGACCCTGGCAGTGCCGTCCTGGGGGCTCTCACTGGACCCCGTCCCCTCCTCCCTCCTCCAGGCTGGATGATCGATGCGGACAGCCGCCCCAAGTTCCGCGAGTTGATCAGCGAATTCTCCAAGATGGCCCGTGACCCCCAGCGCTACCTCGTCATCCAGGTACCAGACCTCAGACCCATAACGCGCATCGCGTCCGAGCTCCGCCCTGCGCCGCCCGTCCCCAGGCCTGCGAGCGGCGCACGGCCAGCCTCTCCCCCCACCCCCACCCGCCGCTGGCAGGCTTCGATGGCGAGTGGGGAGCAGGGGGTGGGTGGCAGCAGGGGGCGGGGCTGGCTGCGGGCAGCCAGGGAAGACCGCCTGGGCCTTCCGTCTTCGCTCCGGCCAGAGCACTGCTCCTGCAGCTCCCTCCGCCCCCGCCCTCCCCCTCATAGCAGGCGGCCTGCCCTGCCTGGCCGCTCTGCGCCTGCATGTGTGCTGCCCAGAGGCCCGGAGAGCTAGGGGGCGGGGCTGCCGCCATCTTTGTCAGGTTAGTTTGCCTACTCACTCCTGATTGGCTGGTGGGCATCGTGAAGTGACGGTCAATTTGCGTGTTTCTCTTTCATTAGTGTAGCTTTTTAGTGATTTCAGAGAGGAAGGGAGAGAGAGAGAGAGAGAGAGAGAGAGAGAGAGAGAGAGAGAGAGAGAGAGAGATAGGAACATCCATGATGAGAGAGAAGCATTGATCGGCTGCCTCCTGCACGCCCCCCACTGGGGATCGAGCTTGCAACCCAGGCACGTGTCCTGACCGGGAATGGAACTGTGACCTGGTTCACAGGTCGATGCTCCACCCCTGAGCCACCAAGATGTTTTCATTCCCGGCCTGGGGAGGGAGAAAGCCGCCCCGCGGAAGAGAGCCAGGGCGGTTTTACCGTGACTCACCCGGCAAGCACAGCGCCTGCCGCCATGGACTCCCAGAGCCCGCGAGCCAAGACGGGATGCCTCCCCTGGGCCTTCCTCACGGTCTCCGACCCCCCTCCCACCCCCATCCCAGGGCGACGAGAGGATGAGCCTGCCCAGCCCCACAGACTCCAACTTCTACCGCGCGCTGATGGACGAGGAGGACATGGAGGACGTGGTGGACGCGGACGAGTACCTGATCCCCCAGCAGGGCTTCTTCCACAGCCCCGCCACCTCCCGCACGCCGCTGCTCAGCTCCCTGGTGAGAGCCCTCGCCCGCGCTCCGGCGGGAGGGACGGACGGACGCCCGTCCGGGGACTCACCGAGGGACGAGGTGCCTGTAGCCGAGGGGCCCGGCCACTCAGAAAGAATGAGCTCGGCGTGTTCACGCTTTGGGTGGCGTCGGGACTCCCAGGTGGTGGCTTTTCCGGGTTCACCGGGGAGCGGAACTGCGTCAGCCGCAGGCCTGGTGCTCCTGCAGCTCCGGGGTCCTGAGGAGAGGGCGCCCCGGTGACCCGGGGAGGCGGGGGAGGACGTAGGCGCATCCGACACGCTCCCCCATTCTCTTCCAGAGTGCCACCAGCAACAACTCCGCCGTGACCTGCGTCGACAGGAACGGGGTACGTGTGGAGCCCTGTGAACGGGCTCGGGGACGCCCTGGGCTCTGAGCTGTGGAACCCGGGAAATGCCCAGGTTCACCCCGAGATCCCCGTGGCTTCTCCCCTGCCCCTGCCCCTGCCCCTGCGAGGCCTGTATGAGCCGTCTCCGCAGTGCTGCTCGGTCGTGGCTCCCAGACCGTCCGCCTCAGTGTCACCAGGCAGCTGGTGACGATGCAAAGCAGGGGTGCAAGGAAGCGGGTCCCTCGGGGAGCACCCAGCCCCCTGGGGGTGCCGACTCGGTGGCCTGCAGCCTGGATGGGGACCCCCTTTGCCAAGGGGAAGCCACTAGCTTCCTTGTAAACGTTCATAAGACCAAATGCTGGTTAAGGCTCAGCTGCTCACACACGTGGCTAGAGGCCGAGGCCGCCCTTGCAGACGGCCCACTGGGTGCACGGCCTGCAGGACGTCGGTGCCGGGCCTGCCACCTGCCCGGGTCTGGGCCAGCAGCGTGGGGACCCCGGAGTTGTTAGGAACGCAGAATCTGGAGCCACCCAGACCGGAGCGTGCAAGCCCGCCTGGCGCGGAGCTCAGAGTCTGCCCCCGGGTCTGTCAGATCCGTGACCCGCCTCCTGGCCTCCCCCCGCAGAGCTTCCCCCTCAAGGAGGACAGCTTCCTGCAGCGGTACAGCTCCGACCCCACGGGCGCCCTGATCGAGGAGGACAGCCTCAGCGACGCCTTCCTGCCCGCGCCAGGTGAGTGGCCGCCCTGGGCACGCACGCTCGGCAGCCCCAGCCCCAGCCCGGCCGCGGCTTCCTCCGGGCGGACCCGGGGCGGACCCGGGGCAAACGGGCAGGCACAGCGCGGGCGTGCGAGGCAGATGCACACAGCCGACCCAGCCTGGCCCGTCACCTCCCCCGAGCCCGGGGCGTGGGTGGGGGTGACAGAGCTGTGTTCACAATGAATCTGCAGGTTCCAGGCTGTGGGGCAAACAGCTCACGCACACGTGTGTGAGAGAGTGCAAAGGTGCGTGTATGTATGTGAGTGTGTGTGAGTATGTGAGAGAGTGTATGTGTGTGTGTGTGTGAGAGTCTGTGAGGGGATGTGTGTGAGCATTGTGTGTGTGAAAGTGTGTGAGAGAGTGAGCATTGTGTGTGGGGGTGTGTGTGCACATATGTGCATGTGTAAGTGTGAGCATTGTGTGTGTGTGGGTGGGTGTGAGTGTGTGTGTGAGCAATGTGTGTGTGAAAGTGTGTGAGAAGAGTGTGAGCATTGCATGTGTGTGAGCATGTTGGGGGGTGACAGATTCACTCCCCTTTTTCTCTCCTGGCTCCACGCTCGGCCTGTGACCCTGCAGTTCTGATCTAAGCTGTACCCCAGACCCCCACCTGCCTGCACCCCCGGGGCCAGTGTCCCCCGGGAGCTCTCTGGGGCAGGGGTGCCCGCCGCTCTGGGGGCACAGAACGGGCACAGCCTGTTTGAGGGACAGAGGGACCGCCGTCTCCACTCCCACCCTGTCACCCGCCCCATCCCCTGCCCCCTGAGGACGCTCCTGGGTCAGAGGACGCCAGGGGGCCCGCCCGCCCGCCCGCCCGCCCCGGCTGCTAACGCCTCTGCTTTCCCCCGCGCAGAGTACATGAACCAGTCCGTCCCCAAGCGGCCGGCCGGCTCGGTGCAGAACCCCGTCTACCACAACCAGCCCCTGACGCCCGCCCCCGGCCGGGACCCGCACTACCAGAACCCGCCCAGCAGCGCCGTGGGCAACCCCGAGTATCTCAACACCGCCCGCCCCCCCGGGGCCCCAGGGGCCCTCGACGGCCCCGCCCGCTGGCCGCAGAACGGCAGCCACCAGATCAGCCTGGACAACCCCGACTACCAGCAGGACTTCCTGCCCAAGCAGGCCCAGCCCAACGGGCTCTCCCCGGGGCCCCCGGCCCCGCACGCAGACGCCCCGCGGGGGGCGCTGCCCAGCGGCGAGTCCATCGGGGCCTGACGAGGAGGCGGCCACAGCCACGGCCGGCCCGCCGCCCGGCCCGCCGGCCGCTCCGTGCCCCCAACCTGCCCGCCCGGACTGGCTCGGCCGGAACCAGCATCTCCTTAGATGGTCTGACGGGCCCCCGCGGCCGGCAGCGCCCTGCTCCCATGTGGCCCGCGGGTCTGGGGCTTCCCTCCGCCCTCAGGCCCTGAGGTCCCCCGAGGCACCGGGAGGGACATTGTCCCGGGGCAGATGTGCGCCCGGCAACGGCAGCGAGGTCTCTTTGGAGAGAACGAAAGCCGCCCCGCAGGAGGCGGGCTGCTGGGGGCCGGGGCTGGGGCGTTTTCTATGGTCGGTACTGGTTCGGTTCTGAGTGAGCTCCTCGTAGGAGGAAGAGACATGAGCGTCCGAAGCTCACGCTGCCCTGAGTGGACAGGGCGCCCCTGGGGCCAGAGCAAGGCCAGCTGGCAGCCGGCACGGACCATCGGCTCTGCCCGGCCCACCCCCGCCCAGGGCCACCTGCGCCCCCCCTGACCCCAGCAGCTGACGGTACTCGGTACTCGGTACTCGGTACGGCGTGGCAGGTACGAGAGGCTGAGCCACGTTGAACCCCTCCTGAGCAGGAAGCCCCGGGGCAGACGCCTCCTCGGACTCGCTCTCCTGTCCGTGCGTCCGCGGTCCTCCCTCCCCGCCCCGGACCGGCGTCTTCCCAGGACCAGCCTGAGGACTTCCTCGTCCATCGTCCATTCCATTCCCACCGGCGCCCGGGACGGACACAGCGCAGCCAGCGGGCCAGGCCGTCTGCCAGGCCGTGGGCAGCATTCAGACCGGAGCCTTTTACTGAGACACGTTCCCTTCGGACGAGTGCGTGTCCCCCGGGCCGGCTCCGGGGAGTCCCCCGGCTGCGGGGGGTCGGGGAGAGCGCAGGTCCGGGCTGCGGAGAGCAGGCTGTGCTGGGGACCCGCTGAGTCTCCCCGAAAAGGTCCGCTGAGGCCCCGAGAAAGCCCTTCCTCCTCCTTCCCCTTCCTTCTCCTCGAAGGCACTCTGCCCTCCTCTTGGGGGAGCCCGGCCCCGTGAAGAGAGGACGGCGCCCTCACAGCTCGCACTGCCGCCGCCCGGCTGGCGGGGGGACGGGTGGGGAGGGGGTTCAGGGAGCAGATGGGAAGGCGGGTGTGAAGGTGACGGTAGTGCCTTCCAGCATCGGCAGGTATAGGAGGAGGAGAAATGTTTTTCCTTCTGAAAAAGGAGTCTCCATCATCGGAAGGCCCAGCGAGGTGGGGCACCCACTGTGTTTCCAATCTGGGTGCCCCTACACCCCGACCTGTCCGAGGTGGGCCTCCCCGGTGCCTTACACACGCGTAGCCACACCCACCGCCCTCCCAGCCCCGGGAGAAGCATCCCCCACCTCTCTGGCCATGCACACATACACGCGGACACAGACACGCGTGCGCGCGCACAGACACACGTGCACACGCACACAGACAAGCAGACACAGGCACACACACACAGACAAGCAGACACAGGCACACGCACAGGCACACATGCACGCACAGGCACACACGCACAGGCACACACACGCGCACACACGTGCAAAGCTGTCCTTTGCTTTTGAAAGATGTGGTGACTCTCAGGTGGTCAGGGCCCCGCCATTTTGTTACCAAAAATTTGTTTCCGTGGAAATAGAAGCTCTAGTCAACTTAGTGCCACGCGCTGGGAACACCCGGAGGCCTCGGCCACCCCGCAAAGGTGCTAACGTGCAAAAAGCCATATGTCAGAATCCCTGCTCCCAGGGAATTCTGCCCCTTTAAGCCCGGAGGCCCCGGCACCACCCCGGGCTGCGCGCTGGAGGTGGCGTACCCCCAGGAGTCAGAGCCCCCCAGGAGTCAGTCCCCCCAGGAGTCAGTCCCCCCAGGAGTCAGAGCCCCCCCAGGAGTCAGAGCCCCCCCAGGAGTCAGTCCCCCCAGGAGTCAGTCCCCCCAGGAGTCAGAGTCCCCCCCAGGAGCCAGAGTCCCCCCCAGGAGTCAGAGCCCCCCCAGGAGTCAGTCCCCCCAGGAGTCAGAGCCCCCCCAGGAGTCAGAGTCCCCCCAGGAGTCAGAGCCTCCCCAGGAGTCAGTCCCCCCCAGGAGTCAGTCCCCCCAGGAGTCAGTCCCCTCAGGAGTCAGTCCCCCCAGGAGTCAGTCCCCCCAGGAGTCAGTCCCCCCAGGAGTCAGAGCCTCCCAGGAGTCAGTCCCCCCAGGAGTCAGTCCCCCCAGGAGTCAGTCCCCTCAGGAGTCAGTCCCCCCAGGAGTCAGAGCCCCCCCAGGAGTCAGCCCCCCCAGGAGTCAGTCCCCCCAGGAGTCAGAGCCCCCCCAGGAGTCAGAGCCCCCCCAGGAGTCAGAGCTACCCCAGGAGTCAGTCCCCCCAGGAGTCAGTCCCCCCAGGAGCCAGAGTCCCCCCCAGGAGTCAGAGTCCCCCCAGGAGTCAGTCCCCCCAGGAGTCAGAGCCCCCCCAGGAGTCAGTCCCCCCAGGAGTCAGTCCCCCCAGGAGTCAGAGCCCCCCCAGGAGTCAGAGCCCCCCCAGGAGTCAGTCCCCTCAGGAGTCAGAGTCCCCCCAGGAGTCAGCCCCCCCAGGAGCCAGAGCGGGGCGGGGGGACGCGCACCGCACCGCTAAGCATCCGCATGCGACGCCAGGGCCACGAAACCGCCTGGTGGCCCCGGCCCCTCGGACCCGGAGTGGCTGGGCGGGTCTTCCCCGCCGGGAGCCGCAGCCCCAGGCCAGGGTCAGGGTGACGGGGCGGGGAGGCGTCTGTGCAGCTAGGAGCTCCGGGTGGAAATGGAGAGCGTTCGCTCTGTAACAGTCACCCGCAGAGGTCAGAGGTCCCAGCACTGGCTCCTCCCGGATCTCCACTCTCCTGCTGGAGACCTGGCTGCCCGCTTCGCTGAAGGCTGTGTTTCTCCGGAAGCGATTCTCCGTCTGCTCCTGGCCTGGGGCTGTCACCCTAACCTGTCAGGAAGCCTGCCTCCCTTCCGCACACCCCCACGCCTGCCTCCCCCCACACCTGCCTCCCCCCACACCTTCCCCACACACACCTGCCTCTCCCCACACCTTCCCCACACACACCTGCCTCCCCCCCCCCGCCTGTCTCCCCCCACGCCCGCCCCTCCCCACACCTTCCCCACACACACCTGCCTCCCCCCCCACACCTGCCTCCCCCCACACCTTCCCCACACACACCTGCCTCCCCCCCCCCGCCTGTCTCCCCCCACGCCCGCCCCTCCCCACACCTTCCCCACACACACCTGCCTCCCCCCCCGCCTGCCTCCCCCACGCCCGCCCCTCCCCACACCTGCCTCCCCCCCCCGCCTGCCTCCCCCACGCCCGCCTCTCCCCACACCTTCCCCACACACACCTGCCTCCCCCCCCCCACGCCTGCCTCCCCCCACGCCCGCGGGGGCGGCAGGCGGGCCTACCCCTCTGTACTCAGACCCACACACACGGGACTTTCCATGGGCATCTATTTTTGTAACTTTTTTAAGGAATATTAGCCTCTTATGTAGCACTGAACTTTGTAAGGCGAGTTTTCTTAAAACATTGTTATTGATTTCAGAGAGGCAGGGAGAGAGAGAAACATCCATGTGAGGGAGAACCGTGGATCGGATGGAGCCCGCGGCCTGGTGCACTGTACACCCGGGACCGTGATTGCCTGCGGGAATGAAGGCGGCGGCTCCCAGCCTTTCAGACGGCGCGCGTTCTCACCACCGAACGAGCCGCGGAGCCCGGCGGTGGCCGGCGGGTGGGAGTGCCGCCCCTCTGCACCAGGGTCCGGCGTGGTCTCGGGCCAGGGCCCACGGGAGACAGCCGTGACTGCAGGCACCAGGCCGTCCGCCCTGAGGGCCTGGGCCGTCCCCCTCCCCCCATCGCCTGGCGGCACATCTACCTGCATTTACTTCTTTTAATACAAAACCTTCCCACCTAATTCGGCGGGAAATAACCTCGCTGTGTGATAGCGCCTCCGACAGACGGGGACCCTCGGGTTAGGGGTGACAGTGGGGAGCGGCCGGAGCAGGACCTTCCTTCCCAAACCAGCAGCAGCCTCGGCGCCGGCCGGACGCGCTCCGCCCGCTGGGGGCGCCCGCCCACGGCCACGGCGACAGTGCGGGCAGGCTGGCGGGCGGTGTGGGTGCTGGGCAGAGTGCCCGCCGCTCCTGTGGGCTGTGCCTGAGTCCCTGTAGGATAACCTGTACCCTGGCTAACCGTGTCCATGAGTCCATGCTCGTCATCGGTCCCGTCCGGCCGCCTGTAGGTGATCTTTCCTGATGGATGACGTCTTAAAGTCCATTAATAAACTTTATTTTTAGAGCACTGTCGGGTTGAGACACTGCAAAATGGGGCAGAAAGGAGGACGTTCCCACCCCTCCCCGCACCCCGGCCCGCGCTCCCTGTGGCCGCCCACACCCCGCGGCCTGGTCGCAGCGGACGCCCGGAGGATCGGTGTGGGTGGGATCAGGGCCCCGGCCCTCAGCCGGGGTCCCTCCGGGCGCCGCGGTGGGCGGTGCCTCGGACCCAAGCGCTTCACTCCACGGTCATTTCAGCCGCTCCCCCTGGACGCTCTCCGTCCCGATTCCCTCCGAGGGCTCTGGCCCCGGCTCCGTGAGCCCCGGGCGCCATGCCGCCTGCTTCCTCAGACCCCCAGCGAGGGCAGTGTCCCTGAGACACCCGGGCTCTGAGGGTGACTGTGCCCGCGGCCCCATGCACAGCGGCCCTGTCACACCGCCCCCTCCCCCCACCCCGTCACTCTGGATGGCTCCCCTCCCCACCCCACCAGTGACTCCTGCGGGCAAGGGGACTCTTCCGTAGCCTGTCTCATTTCAGACACTTCACTGCTGACCCACCAGTGCCGAAGGAGCCCTAGCTGGTGTGGCTCAGTGGACAGAGTGCCGGCCTGCAGACTGAACGGTCCCGGGTTCGATTCCAGCCAAGGGCACATGCCCGGGTTGCGGGCTAGATCCCCAATAGGGGGCGTGCAGGAGGCAGCCAATCAGTGACTCTCTCTCATCATTGATGTTTCTCCCTCTCTCCCCCTTACTCTCTGACATCAAGAAAACTATATTTTAAAAAAGAGAGATCCCAACCTCAAGGCAAATGCACCTGCCCCACTCCCCCTCCCCCTGCCCCCTCTCCCCAGCCCCGCCCCCCTCCCCCTGCCCCCTCTCCCCAGCCCCGCTCCCCTCCCCCTCCCCCTGCCCCCTCTCCCCAGCCCCGCTCCCCCTCCCCCTGCCCCTGCCCCTCTCCCAGCCCCGCCCCCTCCCCCTGCCCCCTCTCCCCAGCCCCGCTCCCCCTCCCCCTCCCCCTGCCCCCTCTCTCCAGCCCCGCTCCCCCTCCCCTGCCCCCTCTCCCCAGCCCCGCTCCCCTCCCCCTCCCCCTGCCCCCTCTCCCCAGCCCCGCTCCCCTCCCCCTCCCCCTGCCCCCTCCCTCCACCTGCAGCTCTGAGCGAGGGGCGGAGGCCGTAAGAAATGGTGCTTCGGGGCCACATCTGTCGGAGTCGCTCTAACGGAGGAGACAGGTCCCCGGGAGCGGAGTGGCTGGGCGGGGACGGGTTCCTCCTGCCCGGGCCTGGCTCCCCGGGGCCGGGCTCAGGCGCTTCTCCAGGTTTCCTGGGGTCCCGGCTCCCTCTCCAGGCCATGGTCACCCTCCACACCCCGAAAACCACGTGTAAACACTGGGGTGGAGAAGCCGAACAGTCCCATCTGAATGGCGCCCTGGCCTCAGAGCCAGTCAACAGAGCACGGAAAGAGCCTGGGGGCGCCCATCTGTCATAACGGGGTGCCTGGGGCCGGGGCGGAGCCGGAGGGTGGCGGCCGGAGTGCAGGCCTGGGTCCCGGGCCGGAGGAAAACCAGCAGGGCCGCCAGGGGGAGAAGGCCTAAGGCACGCATCTTCCTGCCACGGGCCTCTAGTCCTAACGATAAAGCTAGTATGCTAACGGTCAGGACGCCGTA